GGAGGAGCCGGGCTGAGTCAGTGGGGCAGAAGTGAAAGCAAGCTGGGGGAAGAGCCGCGCACTCTGGCTGGTAAGCGACAACGAACTTTCTCGTCCTTTTCAAAGGTGCCAGGCGGCGTCTGTACCGAGACCGCTGGCCCCGTGTAAGCGAAGACAGTGTCGGTACAGTATAAGGGAACATGGGACCGGGACTCCCGTATGGGTCTTCAGCACTTACTGTGCAGTACACACACACACACTGCCTGACACAGAGTTGAATTAGGGGTCATAAAATCACGGGGCTGGATTGTTGGTTGAAATCTGGCAGTGAATTAAAACCGCAGCAAAGAGTTTGTTGAGGTACAGCGTTTGACTTTTTTTTTATTATCCATTGCTCAGTATTTGTTGGAGACGGCTTCAGGACACCCTCCCAAGCAATAAGAAATGATTCACCCAGGCTCCTGATAACTGCTCTGCTCTTTTCGTCATCTCGCACAGTGTGTGGTTACCCCTGCACGACAGCTGTGCTTTTAAAAGTTAGTCTGTTTTTTTTTTTTGGTTATGCTTACGGCTGGGGGATTAATATCTTTATTATTATTATTAAGGGTGACATTATACCTGGCGTGTGGGCGGAGGTGGTGTGGGGGTGCTGTGTAGTAGCTGCAATTAACCTGAAACACGAATGACTCCCTCCAGTCAGAGGGTACAGTGACTTTTCGGGCAGTGCCACCCCAGAGGTCTCCTGTATAGCTGTAGTCTCCTGGCGAGTTTCACAGTTTCTGGTCATGAGGTAATATTTTCTGGACATGCTGTTTTTAAAACAAACGTGTTTTAAAAATATATGCAATACACATAAGAGTGCATAGACTAAAGGAACAGGAAAGTTTATTACACGCTGAAAGGAAAAGAAAAAGACAACATTTTGGCTGTGGAGCCTTTTTCAGGTGTGAGCTCTTAGGGCTCTCCCCAGCTGAAACGTTCCGTCTTTTTTCCTTTCCTTTCAGCATGGAATAAACCTTCACCTGATATGCCCTTATATCTATTTTAAATAGTTCAACTGTGGGTCTCCTCCCAGACCGTTTGATTGTTTTCTGTGCATAATAAGGAGCCAGCATAATGATTCAGTCAGTGAGAGGTGATGGTTGTGTCTTTGTTTCAGTGGGATTAAAAAGTAACACAACATCTGTTTCTCTCAAAGAAATGACATTTTCTGTACAGGT